TAAGGACACCTTAAGACTTGCCTGAGTCCAGTAGGACCTCATTAGCTGATTATTGCAGTGACCCTATATCCAAATAAGGTCATGTTCTGAGCTTCTAGAAGACACGAATTTGAGACAGGGTGGAGAGTGGAATACTATTCAACCCAGTACATGTACCCTAGCTGTATCAATATCAGTATTCTGGTTGTGGTATTATACTATAGTTTTGTGAGATCTAATGGGAGAAACTGGGTAAAGGATATGTAGGATCTCTGTGAAATTACAATTTCATGTGGATCTCTGGTTATCTCAGAATAAGACATTTCATTTTAAAAAAATTACATATTCACTATTCTTAGGGATTATACAGAGAGTATATTTTCACAATACCATATCGGCCTCATTACTGGAAACAAATGATTAAGTTTATCTCCTATAATGAATTTTTGTTTATTGTTATACTCTACAAATGCAAAATGTTTCAGACCTACAAAAATTGCTTTATTAAGTCCAGAAAATAAAATTCTTTTATGATCTTGTGAAGCATACAGAGTACATACAATCAAAAACCCTTTAAGTCATATGAGAACAATAAATTATCTCCTTTATTTTCAAGAGATCAACAATAAGACTTAAAAAAATCTAATGTATGCTTCTTTGGACCTTATACTGGAAGAGCAGTTTCTTAATAATTTCTAATGAAATTTTATAAGAATGATGACTGGGCCATGCTAAAAAATTTAGTTCCCCATGTTTGAGAATAAGGGATCAGCAATAAATATTATATTATGTAATATAAAACTGTAGAAATTATATCTCACAGATTAAACTAGCACCTAATAAGATCTTCTGTGTCTCTTCTTTACTTCATTATTGAATCACACTGATTACAGATAAATCTTGGGCCATTGCAAAAAATTTAAAAAAGACAGCTTTTGAAGAGTTTAGCTCATACCTGTGATTTACATTAATCAGCACATACTGTTTAAAGGCGTCGAGTTGACTTTGCTAAACCCTGCTCACTCCCCAAGTGTCGTCTCACTTTCCCTGATGCTCTCATCCTGGTTACCTCCACCGGTCAGTCTGTGTACTGGTCATGAGGCTTGAAGTGGTAGTCCCAATTTGCCACCTGTTTGTATGCCAGGGGGGTCTAAGACAGAACCCAATCAGACAGATCAACAATTGTGTGATTCATATTTGTAAAACTGGCTGAATACATTTATTTACAGTATCTTTTTTAAAATAAAACCACTGAAAATACAAAAAAAAAATCAGTATATACTGGATAAGAAAATATACAGTGAAGATCATCAAAGGAAGAGAATCATTCACAAATACATATTCTCCCCCTGTGTTTATTTGATTAATGACAGATAGATAGAAAGTTATCTGTGAAATTGAGGCTTTTATCAACTGAAAAAAATGCACAGTGTGAAAGTTGTGAGTTAAGTTTTATTTGGGGCAAAATGAGGACTATAACCCAGGAGACAGCATTTTATATAGCTCTGAGAAACCTCCAAAGAGGTAAGGGAGAAGGTCAGTGTATATATATGTCATTTTGATGAAAGGAATACGTGCGATTAGGCATACATTTTTTGCAGAAGGTTGCTGCTAATCATAAGGAGCAGATGTCACTATAAAGGGTGTTAGTGTTTTTCTAGATATGAGGAGATGCAAGAAGTGGGCTCATAAAATCTTCTGAAAATATCTATCTGAAAGCCTGCCCCATTAGTTTTACCCAGAGCACAGAGTGCCCCCTTCTGGGTCTCCACACCGAACCCCTTTCAGGGTGTGTTGAAGGTCAGCTATCACAGCAGCTTGTGTTTAATCCTTGAAGAGGCAGATGGCAAGTGCCAATTTTTAGTTGGCACTGTTTTTTAAGAGCTGTATTATCTCTGTGTTGAGTTGGCCAGCTTAGCAGAAGATTGTTAAGTATATTTTGCTTCAAGCAATACTTCGTTAAGCCTTTATTCATCATATTTCTTTCTTAATAGTTAAAGAATTGTGACTGATTATTCTTTGTTTACTCAAAATACACAGAGTTAAAATTAAACACTAGAAAAATGGCCAGGAATTAATGTTTGTATCTGTTTCCTTAATTAAAAAAAAAACAAAAAAACCTTGTTTCCTCCTAAAATTTTCAACTTTCTATATAAAATAAATTTCTTCAGGCTGTAATAGTTCTCATAATTGTATACTTTCCAACTCTAATTTCCAAAAATGTATAATAACACTGAATCATAAAGTTACTTTCAGTTCACTGAAAGTAAAACTCAGAGACTTTTCAAATAAGTATACATATAACCACTAATTAAATCTGCCTGCAGTGCAGGAGGCCAGGATTCAATCCCTAAGTCAGGAAGATCCCCTGGAGAAGGGAATGGCCATCCACTCCGGTATTCTTGCCTGGAGAATCCTGTGGACAGAGGAGCCTGGTGGGCTACAGTCCATGGGGTCACAAAGAGTCAGACATGATTGAGCGACTGACACTTTCACTGAAAGATTCCACAGATGAAAGAATTACTTATGTTAACTTGAAGTTATAGGAGTAGGAGTTTTTCCTGTGTATTATAGAATTACGTTAGTCAAGGTTCTCTGGAGAAACAGAACCAATAGGTTGTACATAGGTACATTATAGGAATCAGCTCCCAGAATCCTGGGAAGAAGGCCACTGGTGTACTTTCTGGTTCCCCAGAAAAAGACATTCTGATGTCCAAGAGCAGAAGATAGATATCCCAGGTAAGGAAGAGAAAAAATGAACCTTCCTTCACTTTTTTGGTCTATTCAGGCCTCAGTGGATTGAATGCTGCCCCACCCACAGTGGTGAGGAAAGTCTGCTTTAGTCTATTGATTCAAATGCCAATCTCTTCCAGCAGTGACCTCACAGACACACCCAGAAACAGTGCTTCACCATCCCTTAGCCCAGGCAAGTTGCCACATGAAATCAACCATCCCAAGACTCTTATGCCTGTAAGAATATTAAAAACAAGTCATTTTATGTGAGATACGTATTATTGATGTCATTTTTTTTTTATATTCAGACAAATGAAGCATTTATTTCTGTATTTTCTGTCATTACTGTGCCAAGTACTTTCACTGTTGGAAAGCAATCCAGTTAATCATTTTTGGCTTTGGCTAATGTTAGGATACAAATTAGTAGCAATTCTGATAAACGTAAGTGAGAATGCTCATGGTGCTCATGTTAAGCAAGTTAGGGATGCCCAGTCATTTATTTTCACTTCATTGTGTATGAGAGGGCTGTGACTGAGAGGGGAGGGAAATAAGTACTTCTTGGAGGAAAATTCTGTAGAATATTTTTCAGAACTGAAAACTGTGGCAGAAAGAGGAGTTAATATACTAGCCTTTATGATTGTGTTTCTGTGTGTAAGAAGTTGAGGGATATGCAAGTACCTACAGTTTGCTTTCCTGTTTAAATAAACTACAAGTAGATATATTGAGTATTTTTATTTAAAAGTTGGGATATTATGGCTTAAAATATTTTATTTTCTCTATGATCATCTATATGCAATCCCATGTAATTGGAATTTCATAGTCTTTTACATGGGCTTCCCTGCTTGCTCAGCTGGTAAAGAATTTGCCTGTAATGCAGACCTGGGTTCAATTGCTGGGTTGGGAAGATTCCCTGGAGAAGACAGCGGCTACCCACTCCAGTATTCTGACCTGGAGAATTCCATGGACTGTATTGTCCATGGGGTCACAAAGAGTTGGACACTACTGAGTGATTTTCACTTCACTTTTACATAAAGAACGTAAGAGTTAGATCTCTTATTATGGCAGGCTTTTTGTGCTACGTGGATGGGCTTTTCAGAGTATCAGCCTATAAGAGAAGCTGGTGCTACTGCTAAGTTGCTTCAGTTGTGTCCGACTCTGTGCGACCCCATAGACGGCAGCCCACCAGGCTCCCCCGTCCCTGGGATTCTCCAGGCAAGAACACTGAAGTGGGTTGCCATTTCCTTTTCCAACGCATGAAAGTGAAAAGTAAAAGGGAAGTCATTCAGTCGTGTCCAACTCTTAGCGACCCCATGGACCACAGCCTACCAGGCTCCTCCGTCCATGGGATTTTCCAGGCAAAACACTGGAGTGGGGTGCCACTGCCTTCTCCGATAACATAAGCTAGCTGTCATTAAAGGAAATATGTGTCTAAGACATTTGCTTCTTTAAATTTTTATGACAGTAGTAAACTTGATTCTCTTCTGATGTCTTTATAGCTTCAAGTATCTTTCTCACTTAGTCATTTTTAACCAGAACTATGGACACCATCTGACATTAACTGTCAAATGTATGTGTTGTATAAAATAGCCAAATTGCAGTCATCAATTTGGAAGAAAGAACCACGGGCTAGCAGTATTTATCCACAGTTCATTGATCAACTCATGAACACACATGGACAATTATAAATGAGTCCCCTTAGCAATTCTGAGCTTTGGATCACATTCTCAGATGGTGTACTCTTGAAAGTTCTGGAAAGTACCTGGTGAGTTATGCAGTTGGAGATAAAGATGCCCCATTTGGTCCTTCATCATATCCACCAGGTACCTCTCTGTGGGCCAAAAGGGAACGGAGACTATTGTGCCACAAGGCGCTCAGTGGAGATTTTCCGTAGACATTTATTTCCCCTCCTACTCTGTTCAGTTCTCTAAAGTCAATTCTGCATTTTTAGAATCTGACTATAAAGCTTTATAAATAAAATTAGCCATCAGTATTGTTTTATTGGCTAGGAATATTAGACTCAACATTATTAATTGCATGGCTAATTTGTGGTGAAGCTGGAGATTAAACAATTTTAGACTTCTAGCCCAGTTTCCTTTGACTGCACTACATTGCTTCCTTTTCCCCCTTCTTCTTCTCCTTTTATTCTCAGGATGGAGCTGAGAAGCATTGAAGTAATGTCTTGGTGACACTTCTCTAAGCATTTTTCCTTCTTCATACACATAGAAGAATCATATTATTAACCAGTACTGTGTTTAATTCTTAAGGGATCTCTCTTTGTCTCCAAACAGCCTCAAAACCAGTGGACTTGAAATCATGCACTGGCCCTGTCCCTAACACGACACAGCTGTGCCACATTCCCTGTCCTATTGAATGTGAGGTTTCACCTTGGACAGCTTGGGGACCTTGCACTTATGAAAACTGTAATGACCAGCAAGGCAAAAAAGGTATGTAATACTAAAATGGCATGCTTGAAACTCCCATCAATGGAGTCAAACCATGAATTATTAGCAAACGTTGCTGCGTGTTCCTGTGATCATTTGTTGACAGTATTTTCTAGAATGGCTAAAGAGTATTGATCACAAACAAAGTATAAACCCACTCAGGTGATGATACCAGAAGATAAAAACTTTCATTGCCTGACCCATAGCTAGTACCTAATAAGTAGAACTCCTTATTATTTTAAGATAAACAAATAATGACTATTACTTTTATGATGCAAATGTTCTATCTGAAAGAAGTAGAATAAATGCAGTTGTTTCCCATGTGGCAGGCACAGCAGAGTGATTTTCACATGATCTAATAATTGAAAACACTATTTCTGTTTTGTTTCAAAGGACAGCTTTCTAGTGATTCTAGTATGTTCACTTAGTAATAGACAGACTTACTAATTTTGTCATACAATGTCAGACAAGGCAACACTTAGATGCTATTAAAGCACAGAGAAGATCTTTGAATACTCCTCATTAGAACCCAGATGGGTTATATCTCTAATTCAGATTTCTGGGGAGTCTAAAATCAACTAAGGCTCAAAGAGACAATTTCCTAAGATCATCCAACTTCTCAGAGGTTCCTTTTCAAGTTTAACCACATAAGCCTGTTGAGGAATTCAAAGTAATACCACTTTTGTCTGGTCATGAATATTTCTGAATAGCTTAAGATTTTATGGTGTCTTTGGAGATTTTATTGTCTTTGAACATTTTATAACTACAGACTTTCCAAATTAACCAAAAGCAAAATCTCCTCTCTTTTTTTCTCTCTCTCCAGCTCTTTTCTCACTTTATTTTTACTATAGTAAGCTAACACCAGAAGTCCCTCTTTGGCCATTTGTTCATTCATTTATTCATTTAATAAATTATTAATGAGCTCCTATTAAACTAGCGTTTGGGGATACACTAGGGAATAAAGCACATATGAATTTTACCCTTTACCCTTATCTTGCTTTCACTTAGGGTTTCATTCAGCCTTCTGAAATATTCAACCCATGATGGTAACAAAGAATGTTTTCCTTCCCCAACAATTCAGGTTTCAAACTGAGGAAGCGGCGCATCACCAGTGAGCCCACTGGAGGCTGGGGGGGCAGTGGGAGCTGCCCTCACTTACTGGAAGCCATTCCCTGTGAGGAGCCCTCCTGCTCTGACTGGAAGGCAGTGGGGCTCGGCGACTGTGAACCAGACAACGGCAAGGAGTGCGGTCCAGGCACGCAAGCCCAAGAGGTTGTGTGCATCAACAGTGATGGTAAGGAAGATTATCTACCCTCCTTTGATTTTATGGTTGTCTGTTTGACCCTGGAGAAATACCTCTCCTTATGTTAAAATATTATGTCTTCTCGCATCGTAGCTGGTTCTGTTTACAAACAAACACAGAAACAGCTGCCCCTTCCGTCCTTCCTTCTTTCCTTCCTCTTTCTTCTCTGTCTCTCTTTCATTTTTTCTGATGGTGGCTGTGGAGAGGATCTTTAAACAATCACAGGGTATTTTCTACTTTGAAAACAAGTAACATGCAATTAGAAGTCATCATCAAGACAAGGTGTAAAATTGACAAATTAAAAAATAACAATGAAAGGGAACATTTTTCTAAGATTTTTTAATTTGCCATAGAAAGTGATATGTAAATAAAGAAGGGTTGTTAGCTTTGGCTGGCTTGATTTCAGAAGCCTTCATCTCCCCCTGACCCTGTGTCTTAGTAATGATCACCAAGCCATGAGACCTGTTGAAGCCTAGAGTTCCTCCTGAATCAACCTTCTGAAATCTAGTACTCTCCCTTCCAGGAATGTCATAGAGCCCCCCAGGTGGGGATTTTCCATAAAGTTCTCTTCTTGAACCGTAGAAATTACCCTGGACTTTTACAACTGATTTTTGTTTGATAAAATATACTGTCTTGTTCTTAGCCTTGACTGAAGATTTTTGCATGCTTTCCAAGCGTGATGCTACTTTTCAGGGAGATTCCCCCTGACTCTAGCAATCCCTGAATTACACTTAGGAAACACAGAAGTCCCCCAGATGCGGTGTAAACCTGGCTAAAATTGTCTCTAAGGTTCCCTCCAAGTCTGGAATCCTATGACTCTGCACATCAGAGCAGCGTGAGCACCACGCCCCAGGGCCCCTGTGACAGTTGCTACTCTTTACAGCAGACGCAGAGACACTCTGGTGCCCCCGCAGGGCCACTGGAACATCTGGTAACCGTCATGATTCCTTCTATCCTATTTTCTTCCAGCAAACAGAATCTTTTCCTCCTGTGACTCAGTCACTGCTCAGTAGTGAAAGATACTCTCTGGGGTCAGAGACTGACAAACACTGCCAGTACTGAGAAATGAGCCTTGCAACTTCGAAACGAGCAGTGTTGTCTTGGTCTGGTGTCTCAGGTAGTCTGCAGGACCACATCAGGCAACATCTGAACCAGCCCTGGAGGCTGGAAGGGGACTGTGAAGCAGGGGATTAGAGCTCCAGATACTTAACAGTGAATGTTGCTCTTTTCTCTGTAGATATAATTAGTTATGATACATCCTCTCTTTAGCTTGTACCCAGTTCTCCTCTAAAGGGAAAGAAAAGAGGATTAACATCTAGGAGAAAGGACGCAAATGGAACGTATCCTGTTGTGTTGTGTTTATATGCCCACTTCAAATCCTAATTTGAATTAAATGACACTACATTACCATGTGAGTTGCTGGAAAAGCAGTAAGGGTCATATTTATTTTAGCATCATTAGTAACTCCCTTAATGATACTGCTTCTTGATTCCTTTTCCTCAATTTAAATAATTTTTCTTAACCTCCTAGAGACCTAGGGAGAAACTGGGATCCCAAGTATTATTAAAAGTATATTTGTGTGGGCTAGGATGAAAATAGCTCTAAGATGAAAAGTTAGCTGTGCATGTAACTTCTGGCTAAATGTCATAAAATGAAAGATCAGATCTTACATATTGCAGTGGTCTTCCTGGGCATTTGTACAAATTGAATACGTTTGAAATATACTAAAGGAGCTGACTATTTTAAAAACATCAGTGATTAGTTTTGTCAGGTAAAAAATATTTTATAGGACAATCACTTCCTAAATTTTCTTATGGAACGCGGAGACAAGCAGACAAATGAGTTAGCTATGTCTAGTTACATTGAAAAGTAATATATGTCATAATCTAAAACACAAGTTGATAACTCAGTATATGTAAGCAGATTTCACTTTGTGCACCAAACAAAGACAATGAATTTTAAAAGGTAAGAAATGTGTTATTGAAATTCAGTTTGTTATTATTGTTCTTTCTCAGGACATCTCTGTCATTATGTTTTACTCCCTGACATATATTAGTTGTCGTGCAGCTCAATACTTTAGCTGGCTCAACTATAGAAATGTATAAAATCAAGAGAATCTTTTATTATAAATCCTAGAGCTGTTCAAATTTATATATACCTGAAACATAATTGCACTGCTAGAATCAGCACAGAAGCTGGGGACCTGTAAGTACTATACGAGTATTATCATGTGGTCATCTGGTAAAGTGTTTAGCAGCTGCACCGAATGTCATTTTGTAATTAAATTGAGCCTGGGGAATTAAAGTTGATTAGTTGTACAGACTGTACCTCTAGGCCTGTCTGTGGCTATAGATTTTGTTTTATAATTAAGTTACAGCTCAACTAGAGAAATGAAGAATTAGAGCCTGTGAATCTGACAAATAATTAAAAAAAAAAATCTTTTTTCTCCCACCTTCCTCACAAATTTCACAACTTTGTTAATGATCACAAAGTGTCTAAGGTCTCTTTTCTTCTGAATTATTCTTCACCAGGCTTTTGAGATCATTAGGATTTGCTGCTTGCTGTTATTGTTCATTTTCCCAGTTGACTTCTAAGGAGCAGGGTTGGGGAAGAGTTGGAAGAACTCCCAAGAGAAGTTTTGTGTAGATTCTCTGGCAGACAGAAGGGTGTAACAAAAATGAGAGACAAAGGAGAGCTCAGGCAGGCAATTAGCCTCTCCAGAAAGCGAGGGATGTTTTATGTGCAGCAGAAAAAAATATTACTCATAATTAAAAGAGCTTCAGAAAAGCAGTGCTAGATCTCTGAGCACAAATGCAGGAACTCTGCACCAAAGGTCTGGTGTGATGGGGCAGGGGGCAAGTGGGATCCTCAAGGATGTTGAACCTGTGAGCAAACCCAGAACCTGCCTTCTTCCAGGTTTTGCAGGATTTGTTTGTGTTTTATTTAAAGGTGTAAATTGATGAGGCAAGTGTATTTTGTTTCCCGAATTGATTCGTTAGAGACGGAAGGAAAGCAAGGCTATTAGGCTGAAAATGAAAAATAGTCTATAATCTTACTGATTATGTAAGGATACTGTAAATCAATGTTGTTTCCATATAAGATGATATAAAATCATACTATATATATAAAATGATAATGTCCATATTTCATTATCATGTGTTCTATTCCAGGAATCTGAATACTGATACCTTTCTGTGTAAAACTACTGTTTCCCTGGAGTTTCTATGCTGCCTTTCTCATTTTTATCCACATGAGTAAAAGTTAACATCTAACCAGTGACACTGACATGCATGAGTCACATTCACACTTGACAAAGATTTTTATGAAACCCTAAAATAATATTTTTATAGAAGTAAATCAATACAATCCCTGATTACACAGCTGCTAATATTAATAGTACGGTAGTAAGAGCAGTGTCCAACCATGACCTCCTAGTGTATTATACTGTTCTTAAAGCTCAATTCCTTCCTCTTCTATTAGGTAAAATGTGTCAAAATTCGATTAACTGGGAATGTTATGATTATATAGATGACCTTAAATTATTGCACTTCATTTGTTAAGAGTAACTGACTTACTCTAAATGTCATTAACAACAAATGTTTAACCTACACCTGAACCCTGACTGTAGCACACCGTTGTGTCATGGCACGGTGGTTAAAAACCGTTAGATTTCTAAGAATGCCAACAGATTTTTCATGTACAAATAAAAAAAATGTATACATAATTTCAGGGCTTTCCAGGTGGATTAGTGGTAAAGGATCTGCCTGCCAGTGCAGGAGACACACGAGACGCAGGTTCAGTCCCTGAGTCGGGAAGATCCCCTTGATTAGGAAAAAGCAACCCATTCTAGTATTCTTGCCTGGAAAATCCCATGGACAGAGGAGCCTGGCAGGCTATAGTCCACAGGGTTGCAAAGAGTCACACATGACTGAGCGACTGAGCATACACATAAATGACATTAGATGTTTTAAGTCATCTATAGATAGGTATGAGGTATATGTACATATGTGTGTTTTCATTATATGCAAGTATTTTTTCAAATCACCCTGTAAGATGCTCAATCTGCTTTGGCAAAAGGTATCCTGGATCCCCCAGTATCAAAATCTCCTTAAGTGTGCTATAAAACCAGATTCCCGTCTTATCTACAGACTCACTTGATTACAATATATGGAAGCAAGTCCCAGAAAGCTGCATTTTTATGGAGATTTCTGGATAATTGTGATGCATGCTCAATGAAGTTTGTGAAACGCTGTACTAAAATGAGAAATGGATTGTTTTGGTGGAATCTAGGAACTGACTCTGTTATCCAAAGACTCCCAGCACCAAAGCAAACTGGCTGGACTTGGGTAATGCTGAGGAAGACATAAGGTTAAGACCACTAAGAGAGTCTTACTGAAGCAGGTCTTTAAAGTAAATTTTTCTGCCTGTTTGGGAACCATTTCTGTATATCGGCAGAAGTCCCGAAAGAACAAACTGTGAAAGATGGTTGAAGATGACTCTAATATCCAAAGCACGAACTTGTTGTATGACTTCTTAGTCTTTCTTAATTTTTACCACCGATTTCTTCCTCTCCCTCATGGAATGAGATATGTGTCCACATATGAGTAGAAGGAAGGAGAGACTTGAATACTCTTTCTTTCCCAAACAGTTCATGTTGTACTTCTTTTTTCTCAGGTATTCAGTATTAAGAGAAATGTTAAAACCTGGTATCTGAGGTAAATCAGGAATAAGCACCTAAAAAGTGTGGAAAATTTTTGTCTCTGGAAAACAGGACTCAGTATATGGAGAAATGGGGCAAGCCTATTACATTTTAAGCCTTGTAGTATATACCATGTATATACAATTTGCAAATCATGTAAAGGCTGAATTAATTTGTCCAAATATATATTTATTAGAGAACAACAGTTTGGAGGGGGATAGAGGTATGTGGAAAAGAGTATAAGAGATAAGGAGGAAATTATCCCAGGAATAGAGATTACAAAACTTCTAGT